CCAAGATAGGGAATTACTGGTTTAAACTGTCACCTTGGGAGGTTGGGGAATGGACTATGTTGATTATCCACTCATTCATCCATTAATTCAGAGATTTATTAAGTCCCTACAGAGTAGGGACTGGCATAAGAATATGCCAGGCAGCTGAAAGAAACATAGAGGCAAGATAATAATGCCTGGAATATTTGGCGTGCTGTACAACTTACAAAGAATTTTCACATCCTTTTTATTTTCTAAATCAAAGCTAATATTCAATCATTTGCATGGGACAAGTATCTCAAGGATCTATAGCCGTTGGCTAGTTTGATTGGCAAATGCCCTTGTGAACCATGTGTAATACAGCATCTTGAAGACCACCCCTGCCCACAGCAACAAGGTGAGGTCACTTGTGTGACCACTTACTTCCTCATGAGTGGCCCAGCCAGGAGTAGAACCCCAAGGATCTTATAATATACTTAGAATACGAAGCTACCAGAGTGATCTGTAACAATTCCAGAAAGGTATGGGGGGACCTCACCTAATGTGCATGATGCAATGGTACATTTCAAAACTATTAAGAAATGAGTATAATTGTGATGGACGTGTTACTTAGTTCAATGTAAGCATTTCTCATTGCATATCAAAGCAGTACCCTGAACCCCATAAATGCATGAATGTACGAAGTTATGATTTAAAGAAAAATAATATTTAAAAAAATAAGGGAAAGGCCATCCAGTCTCAGGACACGCTTCGAGAAGGATGGCATTTTCTGGTGGGGCTTTGATAGCTGATTCAGGCCTCAGAGGATATTTCAGATTTGGATTGGGCTTCAGTGGAAGAGGCTCTGGTGACAGAAACCCTAGCTTCAAAACTCAGCCTCCCATTTATAAAATGAAGATGATGGCAACAGTATCTACTCAAGGGTTGCTCTGAAAACTTAGAGATAATCTTGGTCGAGCATCCTACATAGAACATGCTCAGCGAATGGTTGGTGTTAGGATTTCATTTCCCCTTGTACACAGCAAGTGGTAAGCACCCTTCTGCAAAGGATGTATTTCCACATAGGACACTCAGAGCTGCTACCTGCAAGCAACAGAAATAACCTCTGGCTGATGAGGATCCACGAATAGCTAAAAAGAGAAGGAATTTATTGAAAGGTAATTCAAGGAACCACCAGAAAGGCTGGTAATAAAATGGGCAGAAACCATGGGAGGGTTGGCAACGAGGACCACAGGCCAAGTGATACTGACACTACGGCTGGTTCTGAAGGGCACTGCCGAGGAACACCAGAGGTGGGTGCTGCTGGCACATGGCCGTAAGCACTGGCTTGCAGACTCCAAACACTGTCTCTGTTAGTTGGGTTTCTATTACATGCAGTCAAACTCATATCCCAGCAAACACTACTAATCAAACGTGAAATCCAGTCACTTCTATCATCAATGTACATTCCTGTCCCCTGGAAAGCAAGAAAATGTCTCTGTGTGGTGGGACTTCAGCAATCTCTAAATGGACCTTTCTCCCTCACCCAATTCTCTTCTATCCTCATCCTAAAGAGTCCTGAAGGCTTCCATCCCTGTTGAAATACAAATATGCCCATAACACTATATTATTATCAGGTTTTGAACCTGTGAAAAACAGACTTAAGAGTATTCTAGTAAGAAAGCAAAAAGGAATTTGGAAGAAAATACGGCACCACCAAATACCATTTGCCTAAAACTGACCTAAGTGAGTCTAGAACTAGACAGAAAAATGCCATCTTGCCCCCCTCTGTATGGTGAATACCTACTTAAATTGTAATATGCTAATCGTCTTTGAGGCTGGCCTACCCAACGTTGAATCCAGGCAGAGCCCCTTGTGTATAGAGAAGAAACACCTGCATCATCAGGTGAGCCCCGTGACAGTCCTGCATCCTGTCCATCCGCAGGAAAGGAGCAGGATGGGGGCGCATTGCCTGGGAGAAGGAAAGTGGCCCTGTTCTCCTCGCTGTCCCAGACCTCTGACGCTCATGGATAAGGCTGAGAATCCCCCCTGTGCTTGACTGAGCAGACAATCATGTTTCTCTAGCAGCTACTTTTCTTTTCAGTTTAGGGGCTGGTCAATTTTCAAGTCTGCAGTTGGCTCAGCCTCCCACCAGTGAAGGAATCTGTATGTCCCATCCATCTCCACAGCTCTGGGGGAAGGTTTCAAATGGCATTTGGTGGTTGAAAACAAGGCGTAAACACCTGTGCAAAAAAAGCTAATGATGACGGCCCCGGTAGTCATTTCTGTATTATAAGTCACACACTCTCTACTCGAAGGAGGTGCAAATCCAATGAAAGCAAACTGTCAACAGGTTCGTTTCCATACAGTTTATTTTCTCATTCCCTCTTAAACAAAGAGCCAACAAGGACAGAAAAGAAACGAGATGGTGCTTTCGTTGTTTGTTCTAACAGTCTTGGTGTTTGCCTTGTTTTTTCCTGTCCTTCCCCTGCAGTAGGCCTGAAAGGTCACAAGATGAGTGTTCTTCATTCATAGCCATGATCTGTAGGTATCTGGAGATGATTAAAAATGTCCTTTTGTGTTCTCCCTTTTCGTGTGGATGCTTCCTGTCAAGGTGCCCAGAATAAAGCTTCTGGAGCAGATGGAGGAGGCACACAAAGCTGTGCTGGGAAACCGCGTTTCCAGGAGTGGTGCTTCTATCAGTCCTGTTCTCCCACACTAAGAACCACCCGGGGGACACCACCGCACCACGCCATCCTCTTGCCCTGCACATGTGGCCATCATAGACCTTTCACACTTGACTAGTTCTTAGTATTTGTTAATCTAGCACCCACTTCTAGAGGCCCATACTCTTCACCTTAAGGCAGGCATGAGCTCAGAGCTGAAGGAAGCTGGTAGGACATCAGGAACAGGAGCAAAGGTCCATTCTCCACCTGGGCAGACGATAGTGTGGGGAAGAATCCTGAGAACAGCTGTGAGGACAGCAGCCTCCGTTGCAGCCGGAATGAATGAACTCACTCCACAGGAGCAAGACCCTACAGACAGCCCCAGCAAGGCAGCTGTTCAAGAAAGGTACTTGTCAGGTAACTGCAGGACATAAGGATATGGTGGGGAATGCTTGAGACACACCAGTTCTGCTGCCATGCCAGAGATTGGTGTCGTATTATGGATACTGTGATCAGTATTCCTCAATTATGCCCCCAGATTGCAGGGGTCTGGGGGTAATAGCCAGCATGGTAATGATCAACGGGGTAACTCTTCACACCATTCCACAACTGTGCTGTCACCTTGTGGAAACCTCACAGTGGGAGGTGAGTGTGACTAAACAGCCAATCCCACTGGAGCCTGGGAGGGGGCCCATAAATGGTACCCCTCTTTGCCTGAGATCTGGATGGATTGATAAATGAAGCAAAGGAGTGGCAGACAGAAGCCAAGATAAAGTCTCTACGACTAATAAAGGCCAACCAGGAGGACACTGTTTATAGTGAGGGCCCCAGAAGTAGGCAGAATTGTTCTTCCAAGCAATGGCTGTGCGGAACTGGGGCAGGGCCTGGTTGGTGCAGATGGGGAAAGAACACCTGCTTCTTGAAGGTGGCTGTTTCCCCAGAAGGGAGAGGGCGGGTCAAACATGCCTGGTTTATTTTTCCCAACCGTATCGATCAGATAAGTCACTTTACCTGCCCTGGAGGAAGTCAGGGTCCAGAATGCCACCCCCTTTACATGGAAAGACACATCAGGAGTGGAGAACAAGCTCCTCAGTATAGTTTCAGAGGTGCACAAACTAACGTGGAGAGAAGATAAGAGATTTCCCTCGTAATATTCAATTAGTAAAAAGTGACGCCTCATCTCTGCACTACCAAGCCCAGTGATGCCACCTAAGCCCATCCACTCCCAGGGGCAGGAGGGCTTCATCTCACCGCAGTCAGCAGCCATCTCTCCCCCATCCCCATCAGTTTTCCTTTTTTAATTGATCATCAGAAAACTCAAAACCAAGTTTGTGGTTCAATGTCAGTTGAACAGTTTAAGTCACTAAAACCTGTATATCTGCGAATTTTCCCTCCTCTGTAATTCTTTCTTACCACACATTTACCCTGTCTTTACCCTCTGTCCGATTTTTTGTTCTTAATTACAATATTTGTTTTCTATTTTATAGTGAACTATATATTCTTATAAAAAATTATAAATCCCACTAAAGGACAAATAAAATTCAGACTCTATTTTATCAACTCTTAAAAAATAATTTTAAAATTGTATAATAACATTCAATAAATACTTACTGCCTGGGCTTTAAATTTTAGAATCAAAAGATAAATTTCCAGATGTGGTAGAACCTCCATCTCCCTACATTGGCCACCTCCTTAAGTTGACCTAATGTTCACAGACGGGACATGCACCACATGTATGCAGTATAGTAGGCCTCGCTCCTTATGTTGACCACATCCATGGGGTAGTCAAATTACAGAGGTTCTACTGTATTTAACAAGTGTCAGGTCCAACGGGTACAATTCTAATACGTTTTGTTTTTAAGCTAAAATTGTTGGTTTATAAATTATCAACATAGTGATCATTTAAACTTATTTTAATTTATCACTACGTTAATTCACAATGGTACACATTCATAGTAGAATGAAGTATCTGACTCACATTGATTTTGCTTTATTTCTATAATTATATTCAAGATAACACAATCATTCAATGCTTTCCTTCGCAACTTTATATGCCATGTAAAAAATACTGGCAGTTAGTAAATTTTCACAAAAGATACTCACTAAACATGCCTTCCAAAGGCTCTAACTGTTGGCATCTGCAGCTAAATTTAATCTCCTTTATGCCCCATTGCCTCTTGAAATCGGGAGGGTTTTTTTTTTCTTCTTTTTTGTTTTGTTTTGTTTTTTGGTTCTTGTTTGGGTGAGTGTTTTCCCCAGAAATATCAACTGCTGCTGTCACTCTTACCAAAGTAGGTTGTCTCATTGTTAGTTACATGAGCCAAGTTTATTTCCTTGCAAAATATTTTTTAATAATCCAGAGTCCAACCACTATGCCAGTTGTCTTCAGTTTGGCCTTTAATATGGGAATTAAAAGGATAGAAAATGAAGACATTAATGTTATTTTCTGTATTTTCTTTACTTGTTCTACTCTTTGATTTCCAAAGCATGGACTGTAAAAAAAAAAAAAACTAGTGAGGATATTTTTTAAAATTCTCTTTTGCCTTTTTAGGGTTAACATTTATCTTTTAAAGAAGAAATTAAACATGTAGTTCTTATTTTCATTCACATTAGCTCAAACACTTGATGTTCATTAATTCATTTATTCATTCATTCATTCATTCAACAAATATTTACCTGCTCTGCACCAAGTATTATCCTCTGAGAAATCAGTGGGGAGGATCAGAGCTGTACTGTGGAGAAGCCAGGGGAAAGAGAAGACAAAAGTCCTTGAGGTGCCAATGGGCTGTTTTAGGAAACACAGCAGCACACCAGGGCCCAGCATATAACAGGTGTCACATAGATGTAGGTTGTATTGAACTATACCTACCAAAACAATTTCAGGTCTCTAATTCGACAACGTATCAACATGCCTACATGATTACAGACAACCCAACAGCTGTGTGTGCTTCTTAGAAAACAAGCCACAAGACCCTCCTAATGTAAACACATCCATTTTATTTTGATAAATGTTTACCATATAGTCATCTTCTGGTTTTTTTCCTTAAAACTGGGAAGTAATCTAACTATGTTGGCTCTGGAGATGGAGTATTCAGGTTTTTGTTTTTGTCTAATTAAGATATAACTTACGTACAATAAAATACATCAACCTTAAGACCTTGAATGTTCACATCAATGAGTTTTTGCAATTGTATACACCAATGTAACCACCACTTACACAAGATATAGGCCATTTCCTTCACCCTAGAAAATGTCCTTGTGTCCCTGCCCAGCAATTGCTCTCTCATTTCTGTTATTGTAGATTACTTTTTCCTGGTCTAGACACTCAGGTAAGTGGAATTATGCAGCACCCCTAGTAAAGGTGACTTTATCAGTGGTTTGTTCCTTTGTATTCCTGAATAGTGCTGCATTATAAGGATAGATCATTGTTTTATTTAGTCCTTGTCTTGTCAGTGGAAATCTGGGTTGTTTTCACTTTGGGACTACTCTGACTAAGCCCATTTTTGTACAAGCCATACTATGTATATATGTTTACATTTGGGGGTGAATACCTAGAATTTGCTTGCTGTTGCTAGGTCAAGCAATAGACGCATGTTCGACTTTTTAAGAAACTACCAAATAGTTCTCCAAAGTGGTTAGTTCCATTTCACACCACTACCAATAATACAGTGAAGTTTTGGTTGCTCCATGTGCTCCAATTTGCTATCGACAGTCTTATTTTCTAAGCCATTTTTACGCATGTAGAATGGTAGCTCACTGCAGTTTTAATTTGCATTTCCCTGCTGACTAACAACTTTCCATCTGCTTCTTGCTATCAGTAAATGTTCTTTTGTGAGGCATCTTTTCAAGATTTTTACCCACTTTTGTGTGTCTTTTTATTGTTCATTTGTAGGAGTTCTTTACATATGATGCTAGGAGTCCATTGCCACATATATGTATTGCAAATACTTTTTCTCAGTGTGTGGCTTGACCATCATTTTCTCCCAGATAACTCTCTCTGAGGAAGGATTTAGAAGTACAGTACTTTTGATATCACTAATCATCAGCCTTCAGTTTTCATCTTACAAAGGCATTTCTCTACTTCGTCCTCTATCTACTCTCTGCTTCTTCGCTTATAGACTTTCCTGAACTTGGAATGCTTTTAAAGTCGTCTATACTCCCTAGTCTGAATTAATTGATTCATTCTCTGAACACACGTAACACTTTTACTGTATATTTGTTATTTCTTTCTGTATCAATAGTTTACATGTCTTTAACCTAGACTTCGTAAGCTTGAGAAGAACAACCACGTATAACCATACATAGTTACCATGTCTAATTGGATATCCCTGTCAATCTATACATCCTCCTAGTAGAATTCTTTATTTTATGCTTTGTAAGGATGTTCCCTCCTTGAGCTTCCCGTCATGGTAAGTGGTACCACCATAGACCAGAAGCAAGTATCACAAAGATTCCGGAGGGCTGTTACTTGACTTTTACGTCCAATCCCTCAGCCAGGACCATTGATCTTGCCACCTTCCTGCCCCCGCAACCAAGGAGGATCTTGAATGCATCCATTCGTCTCCATCCGACTGCTACTCCTTAGTCCAATTTCTGTCATTTCTCACCTAGAGTCCCTCCTGTTTTGGCTTTGTCTACTTTTTCCCCACTACACTCCAATTGTGTAGTCTTTACAATAGTTCCTACAATGTGCCGAGACTTCTCTTCTCAGACCTCTGCCGAAATTCCCATTGCCTATAAAGCTCTTCCCTAGATCTTCGTATGTCTGGTTTAAAGGCACCTCTCAAGAGAGGACTCTCCTAATCTGAAATAGCACCAGCCCACCCCACCCCCTATCCTGATGCTCCATACCACAATGACTTCTTTATTCCCCCGCTGGGATTTTTCCCAAGCTGGGGGTGCATTTTCCTTTTGCTCTCTCCCAGGGCAGTGTTAGTTCGGAGACGGTAGGCTCCCTGTCCTTTTTTGCTCACAGTATATCTCCAGGACCCAGAAAAATGCCTGCAACACAGTAGGCACATACTGAGCATTTGTTGAAGGAAGGAATTCTTCCCTGGCCAATTCAAGACGAATGTTATTTCTTTTTTATTTTCTATTCATCCCAACACATTTCTTTGCTAACAGTCTATTTTATAAATACCTTCTTAAGTGAACTGCACTGACTTCCATCGACGTCTCTTGCCAGCCACCCTGACTTTCTCAGATCAGCTTTTCTGTCCTCGCTGCTTGTCTTCTCCTGTCTTCTTCCCCCATAGCCCACCTGCCCACCCCCAAACGCATTGTTTCTCTTACAGATTTACACGCTGCATGGACAGAGCTGCATCTGCAAGAGACTAAATAACGGGCAAAAGAATCTTAGGTGCACTCAGTCATTTGGGGAAAGAAAATACAGCTGCCTAACAGAGCTGACTAATCAGCTCCATCAGACAATAGATCAGGTAGACATTGTGTCCGGACACAAAAGCTTGCTGTTTCCTGTACCTTCCTCTGCCTGGTATCACTCTCCCCTCTCGTGAGGGTGTTTGAGTTTGATCCTCCCAGCCAAGCAGCAGATGGAGAAATTGTTTGCAATAGAGATGAGAATATTTTATCAGACTTCCTACAAACGGGGTCCACCGAATTTTAATCTGCCAGCAGAGCACTGACAAAAAAAGGAGGAAAAGTCTCAACAGGACATCCTGCAAGGCCTCCTCAGGAATTAGTGTGTTTTTGGTCAACATTCGGTCAATAGATGATAAACCTCCCAGGGCAAGGGAGAGAGTGCTGCAAGCATACTTCCCTGGTCCTTCCAGCTTCCCTGCGAAGGCCGCGTGGCAGAAGGGAGCCTGGGTCAGCGCCAGGAAGTCTGCATCCCAGACCTGCTTCTGGCCCTGACTCCTTAGGTCACCGCCTGTCGGTGATGTCACATTGTAGTCTCTCGGTCACTCCATCTGTACAATGGAAAGAATACATCCTATTCCCACCAACTGGGTTGTGAAGATGCTTGGGAAATGAATATGTCAACCAGATAGATGAACCAAAAGTCTTCTGTAAAATGGATTCTCTTTTGTTCTTTCCTCACGACTCACAACTGCACAACAGACTCCATATTAGAATCCTAGTCACTGATGTTTGCTGAGCAGTTACTATGGACCGGATAGGAGCAAAGCAAATATAAGGGCACAGAGGGCATTTTGCCCACATTGCATGAATTATATCTTTCAATTCTTATTAAATACCAGGCTGGGAGATGCTAAAAAGGACACCAAGATATATGTAAAACAGTATAAACAAAAATTTAAGTATTGCCTAGGACCTGATTGGCAGGTGCCTCCGGGAGCCCGGGGTCCTGGCAGCATGCTGTGCCCCAGGCAAGGTCTTCACAGGTAGATCAAAATAGAGAATCCAGCAGCCATCCCAGGAAGGCATTGCCACAATTTCCGAGGTATTCTTGTCTCACCTCTGTCACACAAGTACAATATATGTACAATTAACAGAAAGTCCAAGTTTACTGAGGGCTGACCATGTGCCAGTGACTATGCCAAGTGCATCACACACGTTAGCTCAGTAACTAATCACATCAACCCTTGGGATAGCTACTACATTTAACCCCAAGGTGATAAGTCTGACACCCAGAGAGGAACTTGTCCAAGATCCGAGGTTAAGTGGTAAAACCGGACACCCAATTTTTCTGAAATGCAGAGCCTACTTTTCTAGTCTCGTCTCTACGCAGCTTCTTGATGCATTTTCCCCATCTTAATATTTCTAAATTGAGTTGCATGACTGGTGTGTACATTTAATAGAAAAGCCAAGTGTCTTTTAATACTCAAAACCCAGACAGGTGCTAGTGAAACCCTGAATCCTAAGAACAGAGGAGACAGGCGTGGGAGTGGGTGCCCAGCAAAGTGCAAGGGGCACGGGACTGGGAGGCAGGAAATCTGGTGCTCATCGTGGCCTCGGCAGTGCTGGCCACACCACCTGAGACAAGCCACTTGCCCTTTCTGACCCTCTGTCTCCTGACTTAGAAAAACGATGAGGAAATTGAGCTACATGACCCTGAAATCTCATGTCCCTCTAAATCCCTATATGGAACTAATACAAGTGGGGTGGCAGAGAGTTATTCTCCGGCCAGTATTTTGTGCCTCAGAAATCCAGGTGTTTACCCCCAGTCACTGCAGGAGAGGCTAAAGGAGACGTATGTGACAGCTCTGCTTCCACTGGGCTGCTCATCCCTCTTAATCCCAGGCCCTGACTAAAGCTCTCGGAAAACACAGGCGGGATCCAAGGCGCCTGTTCCAGCATCACTTCTGTTTACCCCCACCATCAGGATGGTGTCATTTAACCGGAGCCATCATTCATAGTCACACCAAATGGCTCATGGAAGAAAAGTTGGTTATGTTCAAAGAACAGATGACAAGTGACAGGCTCCGTTCCTGATTTTCCACAATAACAGAAGACACCAGCGACTGCTGTGGTGGTCCCACACCCGAGCACAGTGCTCCCTTCCAAAAGCAGGCGAGGTCTGCTGAGTCTGTTCCTCCATGGGGGGGGGGGGTGAACGTGCAGACCTGTGGGCCTGGAACACTGGGCAGCCCAGGCTCTCCACGTGTATCACCCGGAGAGCCACAGCCGGCAGCCCCGCCCATATCACTTCAGCTGCCACAGAATTTTTATTATTTTGCAAATAAAAAGACAATTCCCTTCTATTGTTAAGAGAGGAGCTTTTAACTCATTCTCATTCTCCAAAAATGGTAAGTATGTGAGGTAATGCATGTAATAATTGGCTTGACTTAGCCACACCTCAATGTATGCACATATGGAAACATCCTGTTGTATACCATAAATGCAATTTTTGTTTGTCAATTAAAAATCTCAAATACTTAAAAAAAATTAAACAAATCACTTACCTTTGCTCTGTACCTAGAGCTGCCAAGGTAAACAGACTCAACATGGAATGGGGATAAGAAAGAGCAGACAACCAAGAATGTGATGGGGAAAGGACCACAGCACTTTCCAGCCCAAGGAAGCACTGGGGACAGAGGAGCCTACCTTGCCAATCCCCAGGCAGGTCCATTTCTATGCCCCTTTATTTTGCCTAAGGAAAGCCAAATGAGACAGCCCTAGAAGACAGCTGGACATCTGCTTGCTGCTGTGGGATCAGCAGAAGCTCCAGTGATTGAAACTGGGAATAATGGGAATTCTCCCAGCCTGCTCTGGGGCGGCCATTCACCTCTAACTTAAAAGGCCTTAGGTAAAGTCTAGTACATACTCACGTATTAATAATAATCTTTTATTTGGCATTTATTAGGTTGAGCCCTGTAAAATGGCAGATATCAGCACAGCTTTTGACCTACAGACATGGAAATAGCAAATGGCTCAACGGAACACTGAGTGCGAGCCACTGTCCTGGGTACTGAAGATATAGAGAGAGATAAGACAGCCTGTCCTCAAGGGAGCGCCAGGAGAGAATCCCACAGAGTACTATGAGAAGCTGGGGCTGTATTGGGAGCTGTGATGGAAAAAGAAAGGAAAGAGGTGGGTAGAGAAGCAGTGTCTTGGAGTGAGAGTCTGCTTCTTTCCTTAATAGGAGTCTAGATCCAACGGGAAAAAGCACGAAGCCCCTCTCCCTGCCATCTCCGCATCTGCAGAATGACCAGCAAACCCAGACTCTCAAAGCAAGTGTAAGAGCGGGGTGAGTTCTGAGCCTGCCAACCTTGACTGAGTCTCTTTAACATTTGTTAGTTTTATGGGTCCCAGGATGCTTCCCTTGAATATTAATTTTCTTCAATTCTTTAAGTATATATTAGTTATTACATATTTTTGATTAATATTTGATGGCCGCTTAGGCTGCCAAGAGTGCCCATAAATTTCCCAAGTGGATATCTGGCACTAGGTACGTGTGGGAGACCCCTTGTGCGGAGCAAAGACATCAATCATTTTAAGCCTCTGACTCCACACCTTAATACCCAAAGATATATTGCTAAGAAGCCCATAACAAGTCATTAAAAATGAATATCTTGTGGCAGTTTTCATGCCTGCAGAATTCAGGGGGGGAGGGAAGGGAACCGAAACGTCGCAGAGCCCAGAAAGCTCGCTAACACCTGTTTGGACATTTTTAAAAAGATTCCTTACTCCTCACTCCAGAACTCAGCTACACAATTTGTGGGGTCCAGTGTCAAATGAAAATCAAGGCGTCTTTTTCAAAAATGATGAAGTATTTGGAGGCAGCAGCAGCAGCAGAGCATGAAACCAAGCTTGGGGCCATCCTAAGCGTGTGGCCCTGAGTGACGTCGTGGATTGCACACCCTCAGAAGCTGGTCCTGCCTCTCTGACACCCTCGTCTCCCTCTGCCTGGAACTGGGTCTCTATGTGTAAGCGCTTTCAATAGAAACACCAGCAACAATAATAATAGCATTTCGTGAGATACTAAGAAAGGAACACTCTATTTTCTGTAACTTATAAGAGCAAGAAAGGGTTCTTCTCATTAACCCTATAAGTACTATTGTTACCTTCATCCTATAGAGGAGGACACTGAAGCATGTGAGAGTTTATTTTACATGGCAACTTGACTTGGCCACAGGGAGCCCAGACATTTCGTCCAGTGTTCTGGAGTGAGGGTGTTTCTGAATGATATTAACATTCCATTGATAGAGTAAAGCTGATTGCCTTCTCTGACACAGGTGGGCCTCATCCAATCAGTTAAAGTCTGAAGATAACAAATAAGGCTGCCCCTTCTTTGACTGCCTTTGAGCTGGGAGGTTGGCTTTTTCCTGCCTTCAGCCTTGAACAAAAACATCAGCTCTACCTGTGTCTCCAGCCTGCTACCGTGTTTCCCCACAAATAAAACCTACCCAAAAAATAAGCCCTAGCAGGATTTCTATGCATTTGTTAAATATAAGCCCTACCCCAATAATAAGACCTAGTGATGGGCATGGCTATGCAGCGTATCTACATAGCCACGCTATGCATTTCGGCACAGAGGGGAAGACATCCCCTGAAAATAACCCCTAGTGTGCCTTCTTGAGAATAAATAAATATAAGACAGTGTCTTATTTTCGGGGAAACACAGTAGCTTTTGGACTTGACTTTAACAACACTGGCTCTTGCCAGCTTGCCAACTACAGATCTTAGAGATTATCAGTCTCTGTAATCATATAAGCCAGTTCCCTATAATAATACTCTTTCTGTATATACAAATGTCTATACCCCCCCCCCAACACATACACTGTTGGTTCTGTTTCTCTGGGGAACTCTGACTAGTACAAAGCCCATGTAAGTTAAGTAACTTGCCTAGTGCCTCAGAGGTGATAAGTGACAGAACGGTGATGTGAATATCACAATAGACGTATATCTGGAAATAACTGAGGTGGCATTGAATAAACGTGTGAACCAGGCCTAGTTAGGAAGAACTAAATCGAAAAGTCTGGGCAGAAGCCCATAAACCTCCCCCCCACTACCACCATAGTCAAAGCAGAACAACCAGAGCAGGTGAATGCAGAGAGGACAGTGCTGTGAGCTCCAGCTGAACACTCAGAGTGAAAAGGGCAGGAGGCCTCAAGTCTGGCCCAGGACCACTTCTAACACGGTGCTTTTCAACTATTTTTATCTCATGGCACACTTGAACCTATAGTTAAACTTCCACAACACACTTGATCCAAGAAAAGAGTAAAAAAAAAAAAAAAGCACATATTTACAGTGCTTTGAACTTCAGTTTACAATTTACTTAATGACCTTTAAAAACTTTTGCAGCACACCTAAGATTCTCTCACAGCACTTGGGTTGAAAATCACTGTTCCAACAGAACAGCCATCCTAGGTGGGAGAGTCCCTGCTGGGCCCCTGAGAAGCCACTCCTCAGAGAAGTCCCTTTCTGTCTAAATCTTGAGGCTTTCAGGGTTTAATCCTCTGACCCTCTGGTAGAAAATCATCTGAGATGATACATACACCCTCTC